GTGTGCGTGTGCGTGTGCGTGTGCGTGTGTGTGCGTGTGTGTGCTTGTGCTTGTGCCGTGTGCGTTGGCTTGGGCGTGGTGGGCAGCATGCAGGGTTCCGCCTCCCTCGCTCGTCACGGCCGCGCTGGAGGATGAGCAGCGGCGGAGCACCTGCGCAGGAACCTCTATGCTGCTGCAAGCGTCCGTCGCCTTCTGCGCTGCAGCATCCCAGCCGCGCGCGGCGGTGCAGCATGCACATGATTGCTGATGATCGAGCGCGCGGCGGCGCACCGACCATCCTGCAGCCAGCAACCGCGCCCGCCAGCAGCAGCACCATGCATGCAGCGAGGGATCGAGGGAACGCACGGGCACGCGCAGGACGCAGGACGCAGGGAGGCGGCCCAGCAGCCAGCCAGCACACCACGCATGGCAGCGGCATCTGGGCAGCGCGCAGCGCCCTTTCGAGCGCGACGCTTTTGGGGCAAAGTTGCCCTTCGGTGCGCATCTCCCTCCTCTCCCTTCTGGCTCGTTCACAAACCTCGCACATCACGTTTGGGGTGCAAAACTTAGAACTTCAAAAGAAAGCTGCCTCGCTGCTTGCCTCTCCCCCACCACATACCAAGCAGTACCGCTAGTACAAAGCGCCACTTGATCATTCCATCGCACAAGACATATTCGCTGAAAATGACTACCGCACTTGACTCTCTCAAGCAGTACACTGCTGGTGAGTAGCTTATATGCGCGCAATCTCTCCCCTTTGCGCACAAAACCTCTTCTGACCTTCGTCTCCTCCTCGCACTTCCCGTGCTTACAGTCGTCTCTGACTCTGGTGACTTCGAGTCCATTGACGCTTACAAGCCTCAAGATGCCACCACTAACCCTGTGAGTAGCAGGAGCCGGTCGTTTAGATCTTAGGCTGCTTCGGAGTATGAATGGGTCCCACCCCACGCCAGGGTCCAAAATTGTGCCCCAGGCGAAAATCTTTTTGCCACATCCCTTCGGTGCACCTCCACCGAGTGCATCAAGTGCTCGCCTGTGCAGCAGGAAGTGGTCATCAAGGACATTGTCATAATGCACGCACTTACCTTCTCCAGGAGCGCGCCTTTTCCCCGGCACTCGAAGTGCAATCAAATGCTCTATTTCCTCGTACTGAAGCTTGACTGACACGCTTGCTCATTCCTATGGCTACCCCAGTCTCTGATCCTTGCTGCCATCAAGGAGGAGAAGTACGCTCGTCTCTTGGATGTTGCTGCCAAGTACGCTCAATCGCAGACCGGCGACAAGTCCAACCAGGTTGAGAACGCCGTCGACCGTCTCTTGGTCGAGTTTGGTGCCGAAATTCTAAAGATCATCCCTGGCCGTGTCTCTACCGAAGTCGACGCTCGTCTCTCCTTCAACAAGGAGGCTACCAAGGCCAAGGCTAAGAAGCTCATCGCTCTCTACAAGGAGCAGGGCATTGACAAGCAGCGTGTTCTGATCAAGATCGCATCCACCTGGGAGGGCATTCAGGCCGCCCGTGAGCTCGAGCGCGATGACGGCATCCACTGCAACTTGACTCTTCTGTTCGGCTTCGGTCAAGCTGTTGCCTGTGCCGAAGGTGGCATCACTCTGATCTCTCCCTTCGTTGGACGTATCCTTGACTACTACAAGAAGGCTACCGGTAAGGAGTACACAGCCAAGGAGGACCCAGGAGTTGTGTCCGTTCAGCGCATCTACAACTACTACAAGCAACACGGCTACAACACCATCGTTATGGGCGCCTCGTTCCGCAACGTCGGCGAGATCAAGGAGCTCGCTGGTTGCGACTTCCTGACCATTGCACCCAAGCTGCTCGAGGAGCTCAAGAACGACAAGGAGCCCGTCAAGCAGGTTCTGAGCGTCGAGAACGCCAAGAAGGCCGAGGCTATTCCCAAGGTCTCCTTCATTGACGATCAGCCCGCTTTCCTTTTCGAGCTCGCAAAAGACGCTATGGCCGTGTCTAAGCTCAACGAGGGCATTGCCAAGTTCGCCGAGGATGGAGAGACCCTTGAGGGCATCGTCGCCAAGAAGCTCGGCGCTTAAGTGCGAATCTGGCACC